CTAATACTTGCATCCGGACTTACGCTCTTCATCGTGGGGAGTAGCGATAGAAGCCCGCTGGGTGATGTACTACGGACATAGGCTAGCAAGACCATTCTCAAAACAACAAGGAAAAAACAACAACCACCAAGAAACAACAGGCAGAGCAGCAAGGCATGAGTACGGAGGCAACACATAGGCCAGAGGGCACAGGGGAAGGGGGAGAGCAGACGACACACAAGGTACTAAGGGAAAGACATGAGGTGAGAAGGCATATTAGGATGACAAGCAGCAGCAAAGGACAGGCTGGAGGGCACGGGGGAGGCGGGAGGACGACACACAAGGCACTGAAGGGGGAACGATATAAAGCGTCAAGGCATAGAATGATAACCAKCAGCAAAGACATGAGGCAACAAGGCATAGGAYGATAAACASCAGCARCAAAGACATGAGGCRACAAGGCATAGGACGACAACCAGCAGCAAAGACATGAGGCGTCARGGCATAGGACGTCAAACAGCAGCAAAGGACAGTGGGTGGAGGGCACGGGGGAGKTGGGAGGGCACATATACACAAAGTATACCAAGCAGACAACACATCAGTATATCGAGCTGATGGCACACCAGCACACCAAACACAGCAACCAAACCAAGCAGATAACATACAAGCACATCAAGCAGACGTTACGCAAAGACACCAAAGTCCCGAAAATTTTTCCAAGGGCTGAAAAAAATAAAAAACCGATGATGACAAGATTGTTTCGTTGGAGTTGCACTGACTCATCAGGAGGCTGAACCCTCGACAATCTGCAGGAATCTCCGTACTAGATGGTTTGGGTCATGAACCCTTTGACCCTGGTTGAAGGCAGACTGTCCCCAAGCGGAACATAGCAGCGGGCGGCGACCCTGTGGAGCACCAGGCAACACAATAGAGGCAACACGGCTGCACAACGCCAAAAGCGACTGCAAGGAAAGACATGGCACACAACGCGGAAACATGGAAGGCACGGCCAGCGGATGGGTAGCAGGGCAGCGGAGCAGCGAAGCACAAGGCAACGCCGACAACACAGCCACACCACAGAGCGAACATAACAACCTGCAGAGAACCACATGCAAAGCAAGCGGGACAGGCAGCAAGGCTGCGGTGGTGCGCAGACGAGGCAGTCCACACATCCAACACGGAGCAAAGCAGCACATCACCTACTCACATCACGGGTGAACCCCACAGACTGTTGGTTCCCACCACCCACTGAGCCAGGGAAACACTACGACGAGCATTCGTCATCACCTACAAGCAACACAGACATCCCGAACTGAGCGGCCCCTATAAGAGTGCAGTAGGCACTCCAAACGAGGAACCACCGACTGTTTGGCACTACTTAAGGGTGCTCAGTTGGGTAACAAAAAATACTTAGAAAAAACTATCAGGCGGAGAACAGACAACAACAGGAAAACAAGAAAGATCAGGGGGAGAACAGTCAACAACAAGAAAACAAACAAACATAAAATTGATCATATGTGTGTGTGTGTGTGCCGGGGGGGGGGCGACCCCTCCCCCACCAATCAATCAATCAATCAATCAATCAATCAATCAATCAATCAATCAATCAACCAATCAGCCAATCACTCAATATCGCTTTATCCACTGCGCTGTCTCGTGGTCTGGTGGAAACGACGGCCCGCATTCGGTATAGGCGCGCGCTTCGGCTACCCAGCAACCGCTTCA